TTTATTTAAAATTATGTTAAAATTATGATTTTATATTAAAATTTAAATAATTATACATTTATATTGAAATTTATAAAATTTGATATATAAATAAAATTTATTAATTAAAAATATATATAGTATAAAAAAATTATTAAACAAATATAACATGATCACAATTGTAATTTACTAAAAGAACTCATCTAAACCTAACCTTAAAAAAACTCAAACATCTTGGCACTACTAATGTGCAAGATGTCAAAGTTTACAAACTATTAGCTTTAAAAAAATATATTTATATATAATATTAGTAGTAAAAATGAACTATAATTATTTAATACATCTTTTACAATGAAATTTTATTTTTATTAGTTCTATTAGAATTCTTTTATAGTAAGCTAATAGCATGATTTATCTGATTTGATTACCAAAACAAATAACTTATAATTCATCTTAGAGATGAAATAAAGTGTCTCTTGGAAAATTTGTGATATTATTTTTTTACCTTTGAATATAAATATTACTTTATAATTTTAAATATGCTATATTTATCAAAAAAGAAAGAAAAAGAAAAGAAAACTAACTAACAAACTAACAATTGCAATAGCTCTATATTGTTTTATTTGCACTATAATAATAATATTATAAAAAATTTATTAAATCATTTGAATTATATATATATATTTACACATATATATATATATATATATATATATATTAATAAAATTAATTTCCATCTAATTTAAAACCATGTAGTTATAGTCAGATAAGTTTTTTTTTTTTTTTTTTTTTTAATATTAGAAGAATAATTTCACTAGCTTGTAATATTTTTGAAGTACACATAATTATGTAAAAAATTAAAATTCTATGTTACTTTTGGATTATTTAATATATATATATATATATATATATATATATATATATATATTGGCCTTTTGGTACATGAATTATTTTATAAACTATTAAATCTAAGACTAGTTTTATAAAAAAAAATATTATTTTAAAATTAATTATTTATTTTAGAATTTTGGTATAGCTAGTATTTTAAGATTATTATATATTTTTTCTTTTAAACTTGAAATTTTAGATTTTTGGATTATATATATTTTTTCTGAAATGTAGAATTTTATTATTGAATTTTTTAAAATTAATTAAGATTTAGTAAAAGACTAGAGTTAACATTTTTAGAGTGTGATACTAATAATGATTACAAAAAATCTTAAAAGAAATAAATTAGTATGTCATGAAGTTTTAGATTAAATTATCTAATAATACATAATTATACTTCTAATAAGAGTATAATTAAAATTTGATCATTAAATGCATTAGTTTTAATTTTAAAGATTTAGTTAAATTAAAATTTTATCACAATTTGAATTTACATTAATTTAATCTTATGTTTTTACTAATATCTACAATGGCGTTTACTTTTATTCTTAAAATCTTTGTCTAATAGCTATAAATCATCTAACAAACTTATACAAGTTATTGCTAGGAAGCCTTAACACCGGGTCTTGTTTAAATAGATGCAACTAACATCTAACATTTGAATACACATATGTAAGTAGGAATAAATACAACATATAAAATTCTACAATAATATTAATTTTTCTCTATAGTCTTAAAATATCAATTTAAAATACATGATTTCTGTAATTTTATTTTATTTATTTGTAAAATTTTTTAATTAATTTTCTTTTGATAAAAAAATAAAATTAACTAATCAATAGCTTAAATAACATGCATGAAAAATATTACTTTTTTAAAATAATATTATTATTTGTAAGATAAAGTATTAACTAGTATAGATTATTAATCATTAGAGATGGCATATTAAAAGTAAGATAAACATCATCCTTGCCAAGGCCCTAAAATATGGACTAATTACCTCTACTCACTTCTATTCTAATGGCCATTATGGCCTTTCTTTGCCCAATCATGTATAGCCATGTGGTCCTATCAATCCAATGGATTTTATTCATTATTTCTATTACTAAATAAAAGTCAATGGAAATCCATCAATTATTCAAAATCAAGGGTTATCAATTATGCACAATGGAACAAATTTGATTCTCAAAATTTTGATAAAGTATTAGAAGTTACTAGTTCTTGGAAAATTAATTTATAGAAATTAAATTTATATATATACATAAAATAGCTATTTTTTTTACTTACTAAGAAACCAAAAAGTAGATTTATCCATCTATATTTGTTCTTCTGAAATTTTTTATACTTTCAAAAAAAACTTAGATATATAAAAGTAGTTTGAATGTGACTAATATAAATATATTGTTTTAGTATTCATCTACAACATCTAAAACAATTATAATACTTATCTTTGGATAGTAGAATTTTAAAAAATAACTATTTTTATATTTAATTAACCACAATAATATGAAATTAAAAATATTAAATTAAAATATTATATTTTGATATAGATTATTTATATTATATCTATAAAGGTTAATACATATTTTCTTTTCAATAATATCACATTTGTATTATATTTTATTAATTAAATCTAACAAAATTTTCTACATATTCCTAAATAGAATCCTTAAAAGTTCTTGCCACTCCTATTATAACTTTTTTATTTTGAGAAAATGATATCATTACTTATTGGTATTTAGATTTTAAAACAATAGCTACAAGATTGTATCTTGTGTTCAGTACATTCTGTAATTTCATTTATATATTTTTAAAGAAGAAGGTGAAACAAAACCAAGTTTTTTTAATTTTTTTATTTCTCCAAATAAATATATTTTTAATTTGAATTCAAATGAAATAATATATATTAAAAAAAATACATATATATAGAATATTTATTTGGAGAAATAAAAAAATAATATTGATGTAACTAATAACATCAAGTTTATTTCTATCAAATTTTTTTTTTGAGAAACTAATTTTTTTTCTAAAATTATTTTAAAATAATATCAGTAATTAATATTTAATATATTAATATAAAATGATGCTTCAAATTACTTTCATTAATGAATAAGAAGAGAAATTAGTTAAATAAATATTCTATATATATTCTTATATGTTCTTAATTAGTTATACCCTTTCAAGTATAATTGGTTTAAATTACTTTGTATTCTTTTATATATAATTTTACTAAATTTACACACACACACACACACACACATATATATATATATACACATATTTCTAATAAGATGTAATAGATTAAAACCCATATTTATAATGCATGGAATGATTGTGAGTTTAGGAATCCATTAGCACAAAACGTCATAACTTTGCAATAAATGGTTTATACAACAATTTGATAACTTAAATGGGATGAGAAGCGTGAGATCGGGGCGCAATCAATAGATGAAAGTATGCAAACGAACAACCACCAGGATGAAAATAAGATGAATCTCATTCATCCAAATCAACGAGGACGTGTCCTCGGCACGGTTGCGTTCATCCGCAAAATTCGAAGCGATGGTCGTCTCCGACGATGAGCACATTCCACGCATGATGGGACCAGGTTTTCATCGACACCGTTTTCTTTCGAGATGTGAGGACTAGCAAGTTGCGCATGTGGTCCATCGATCTCGGGCCATGGGTTAATGTGACGTGATCGCCGGTTCCTCAGGTTCATGGTGGCAGAGCATAGCCATGCTTGACTTCCTGGTCCCCATGGAATCGTTCCGCAGAAGACGAGCGAGAGATTTTTATCTAAAGAAATCTGTGGCTTACGGCCGAGACCCATATTTTTCAACAGCTGGACTTTCTCGTCAAGCAATTGCAGATTAACGATAATCTCCCCCTGGTCTTTCACAACTTGTCGATTAGTTGCGATGCGGTCAGATTGCCAGTTGTAAATTAGTTATTACGTTGGTCATGCTGCAAGCGGCCAATTAGTTGTGATGTCGGCCGCAAGGTGCTTGCAGATATGGTGTGCGGCTTCGTATGGCTTCGGTACTCTAATTTTAGGGCCACGTGAAAATCATGGGTTACATCCAAGTGCGATATTTGGTGCAGCGTCGTGATACTAATACTCGCTGCTGTCAGGGTATCGGTGGAGGATTGATCAGTGGAATGAAAGGTACGCGATTGAAGGCGTAGTTGTTTGCGCTGTATGATTGCTCGCTGTACTTGGGCTCCAATACTGGCAGATTTCTGTAGAAGGAAGAAGAGCTGCAGCTGATTAGGTTGATTGTGAGCATTTTCTGACACAACTGGCTTAACACACGAACAGAACAATCTTCCCTATTAAAAGTGGGGCAGTTTTGCATGTGATTAGTCCTGCTCAGTTGTGGCACATGGATGTGCCTGATTGCGGCAGAGATTGTGTGAAAGGTTGAAATTCTTCGTCCATGGTTGGTCAACCCAGCTACAGGATAAGGGAATCCTCTTTCCCGTCAGATTCAGAGACTTTCAAAGGGGTCAAAGCAGATGTTTTGAAGCTTCGGGACCTACACTGGAATAGAGCCTGAGAGCATAAACCCCTGAATATACTGCACTTTTGTTTATCATAGGTCTTGTCTGGAAATATATTTAGGTTTCTAAAGGAGATAAAGACGGATTGTATTCGAAAGAATCTGCTGATGTGATGGTCAAACTTGATATCAATGATGCGGTTATACGTATATGTCAAAGCAGACGCGTCGTAAAATACGCTTTTCCCGACAGGTTTATTTTTGAAGAAACCGACGTAGCTTCCTTCATTTAAAATTGAATACGTCTCTTCTTTCACACTCCTATTTAAACACACTCCTATTTAAACACACTCCTATTTAAACACACTCCTATTTAAACACACTCCTATTTAAACACACTCCTATTTAAAGGCTGAATTATGTGAGCGGAGACAGTCTGATTCTTGCATCGAGCTGGCGAATAATCCTCAGTTTATGGTTGCTCATGTGTCTAGACCAACTGATTGACGTAATGAATTCCACATATGCTGGAGTCGAAAAAATATCATCATCCCCAATTCGTTAAACAAGCCTTCGAGCCTACGCTTATCCAGGAAGAAGTGAGGCGCTGTGACGAACTCCAGTAGTAAATCATGAATACATGCGGCTCGTATGCCATTCAAACATCGTAACAAACTTGAAAGCTTATGCAAATCAACCAATCAATCTGGGGAAACGGTTGAGAAGTATGGAGTTCCAGTACTACCATGAAGAAAATTTTATACAATGCTTATCTTACTCCTAACTTCTCTAATCTAGTTAATCCTTACAACTGTCGTGAACTAGGCGCTGGCCCTGGAGCTTGATCGGGGCCTGACGTGTTCTGTTCCGAAGGCGGACCTGCATTGTGTAGTGCAGCCATCCCCTGTTGCGTCATGAATTGTTGCCTCTTTAGGGAACTTTCCATGTTGGGATTAAGGGAGCTTGTCCTGAGCCTGGCTGCATTGGCGCGCCTAGCAAGAAGACTGCTCTGCATTATGGGTTCTGGTTTTGGAACATGGTTCGGCTCCAACTGATTAGAATCTCCGGAGAGGTCGGTATAATTCTGCATCAAGCTTAGAAGGTCCGGCAACGGAAATTGAGTAAAACCTTGTGGATCGATGTTGAAAGGATTCTTCGGAAGTCCACCTGCAAGACTCTGCTGAGCGGCAGTGTATCTCATTAGCTGCTGAGCTCTGGCCTGCAATTCAAATTGTAGCCTTACGATCTGATACGCCATTACGAAGCTCATGTTGTCCTGAAGGGATGGAGGCTGTTGGTTGCGGTTCATTAGGGATGGCCAACCTGTAAGTAAACTGTCTAGATTTGGAAGTAGCCCCAAATTGTCCTGTGGAGACACAAGATTTGGTAACGCGGATGTCATTGCAGGTAGCCCCTTCTGCAGTTGGCTTATAGACTCTTGCAGACTTTCAGCTTCATAAGTATTGAGATCTCCAGAGGAATTCTTCGTTTGGTTTATCTTGGGATGAGAGTGCGTTCCTTCGTAGCTGGTGATGACAAGGCCAGGATCCTCAGTGGACCTTTCCACTCGCTTTCGAACAGGACAATGAGCAGTTGTGCACCGGTAATAGTTTCTGTGGATCATCACAATGTATCTATCTCAGTTCCATTTCTATTTCTACAAAACAAGCATTTCATCCACGAGTATACTGTTCGCTCGAAATTTTCGATTCTGAGGTCTGAAACTAGTTCCTTTCTACGCAGGAACTCCTATGGGAAAAAAATCATACTAAAGTACTGAGATTAACTCTAGAATGTAACTGCCAGGCGACCAATTTGTTCAATGGAGACAAAATAACATATCGTTTCGGGAAAAATGTTCAATCTTCAATTTTATCAGACAAATGATGTTCCCGATCTATACACGGAACTTTATGACCCTTTATCACGTTTCGTGGACACTTAAAATTTGTAGGACCGTCTGCATTAATGGAACTTATTGTCAATGTCCAATTACTAGTTACTCTTTGACAGAAGTAGTGGGTGTGTTGTACCTGGGATGAGGGCTGTTCTTCACGGGCTTCTGGCCATACTTCCGCCATTTGTAACCATCTTCCATAACGTCTACTTCTGTTCTCGTTTTGATTGCATATCGTGGCTCCCGCAGTCTCTTTGGACCCTTATTCTTCTGAATCTGCTTAATTAATCTGCTCATTTACAACATGGCTATTAAGTTAAGAACTCGGTCTCGACACTGGTAAGATTCTGATTAAGATTCTCGACACTCGAATCACACGAGTGCCAGATACTACCCCAGGCTGAAGCACATTATGATAATTGGAAACACAATTCAGGCGCCTCCTGAAACGGCTCCATCTTACGAGGCACCAAACCAACTCGAGTTAGAATGTTGCTTACGATGAATTATTCCGTTTGTTTTTCGGCACGTCTTCGACCCCCGAGATATTACTTCCTTCCGAAGTACACTCGACGTTGAGTCGCTTGCGCGACTTCTTTGTCTCCTCTCTTGAACCAGAGGCAGCAGAGTCACTTGTCACCATGGGATTACTGCTACCTGGGTCGCTCTCGCCACTCTGTGTAGATGTTGAAACAGACTCGGAATTCTCCACGTTATTCACCTTTGGACTCCAAACTAACTCAGAATTGGGGGGTAATCTGGGACTCCAACTTTGAAGAAACTTCAATTGATCAGAAAACAAAGGCGACGCACAGATAGTCCCCAAATCAGGGAATTCTCCTCCCTCGCCAAGTCTGGGAGTTATCAACCCTTTAGGAGAGAAGTTACTTAAATCCAAGTACTGTGATTCAAACACATGCTGCGCCCACGCATAATTTTGATCTTTGGACTCATCCAAGCTAAGTTTTGCTTCTTCACCTCCTCCATTTGATGAATCTACGCTACCACTACAGTCCTTCGTCTCCACACAATCTTTCCTTTCATTTAACGCCATGTCTCGCCTAAGCGTCAGCCTAAGTCCGCTACGTTCGAAACCCTCCCTTGCCCCCTTCCCCCCACCCCCCTCCTACTTCAGAGAATTAAACAGCAGTATGTCTTCCACTCAGACACTCAAATGCTTCTGCGAACTCCCCCTCGATTCTCACCGCAGGCGGCGAGATATTGGTACTATGTCGACAACTAACTGGCGCAAGACACCGAGGGTCTGAAGTACAACCTCTCGGGGTATGGTTTTAACGGAGCTCTTGAGGCAATAATAGGCTAATAGGTCCAACCTCAATGGACAGTGTGAACGATAACTAGTCACGGAGTACTTGAGGGGGTATGGACGGGAAAGCAGGGTTAGTTGTCAGCATGCCCCACCGAAACCTATTTGCTGTAGGATGCGCACTTCGGTCCGATCGTGGATCCCTTGCAAGGAAGAGCCCGCCGCATCTGCTCTCATTTTCTCTGTTGCTGCGTGGAAAAATAGCCCATCAGGAGTATTATATATTTGGGAAGCTCCCGGTTCGCAGCTTGACAGGGTCACAGGTGGTCAAACTGCACGCGCTTCAGTCTTGAATCGCGGTGGTTCAAGGCCGGAGCTTCAAGGACTCGCATCCTGCATGGCCAGAGATGATGTTGCGGCAGCAGCTGCCTCATTCTCGTTCCCGCTCTCACCGTTCCTGCTTTTCTCGGGGGTCCACGTGGGATGCATCGCGGAATTGAGCTGCTAAGGTGGCGTCCACCTCAGCAATTTCTTTTAAACTGTTTCCTTTTTCATTTCTTTTTCTCCTCCGCCGTAATCGTTACTCACATACCGTCAAGGTCTCTCCCCGCGTTTTTTATTCGCGGGAATTCCACGAGTGTGGGATCTATTCCTTGCTAGTGATACAACACTAGTTGCAGTTTTACTAGGGTTTTCTCCAGGTTTCAAAATTGACACACAATAAAAGTGAATATTATTGAATCTCATGATTTTGGGTGATTTGGTTTTTTAATTTTAATTTTTTTTTTTGCAACGAGCTATCATATCTTAGTCCATTTAAAAAATATATAGGTTGACTTGTTTTTACAAATAGATTGTTTTGGAAATTAATAGTCATATATTATTCCATAAATTCAGATCGGAAATATCTGTTGTAAATTCTTATAATGCACTTGGAAGATAGGTTTTTAGTATAAAAAAGTAAAATAAAAAAATCAATGAATAATATAAACATTGAAAAATTGCAAACATGCTATTATTTTTATTTTTTATTTGATGAAATAATTCAAATTATTTTAAAAGTTCTAATGTCACCATTAAAGATATTGATACTCATTTAGGTCCAATAAGATGGTAACTAAAAATTTATTCAAAATTTGGCAATTTAAAAATGTGGATTTCTAAAGTGGATTTTTAACTCACTTGATAATTTAAATAGATTAAAAAAATAAAAAAGTAAAAAAATCAGCACGTCTCTTTTAGCAACAAAAATATCACAATTGTGGGTTATAAGATGGTGGAGTAATGAGTGGAGTCCATATGAAAGGAAAGAAAGCCTATACTAAAGTAGAGTCCCAAAGTAAAGAATTGTAAAATTATAATATAGTAACTTGGTGGTTGTGGTGGAAATTTGAGCTTGGGACCCTACAAACCTTTGGAATAATTTTAACTAGTAGCTTTATTAGTATTTTCTAAATAAAGATATTTTTTTATTATTTTTATGAATTTCTTGTATCCTACTTATTACTAGATGAATTTGTATTATTGTGTCAAGGACAAGAACTCGATGTAAAAACAATTCAAACAAGTGAGCATTTACTCAAACAGAGGTAACAAAATATATATAAACAAGTATATATATTGAAAGAAAAACTGGAATGGCTATTGCCAAAAGACAAGAAAACTAGAGACCCTTAAAACAGACTAGAAGCAAGAAAGGAGTTGACAAGAATGAAGAAGCCTTCACTCTTGTCTCTATATATACTATCTAACTAAGAGCTACGTGGCGACATTCTATAGGACCTCCAATTTGTGTTGACTTTGTAGGGCACATGCCTTGACTTACAAGGCAAGTTTTTCTACGTGTGGGCCATATAGTTAGCTTGATCTTTAAGCTAACAACATGTGTGGCACATGGCCAACTTGTTGACTACGTTTCTAATCCAAAAAATCAATTAAAGACACCTATGAAGTCAAAGCAGCATCTAGGAAGTTTCTAAGAAGCTTCCATATTAAATATTATAGAATTAACTTACTTTTACCTACTTTTATTTACTTCTATCTATTTCTATATGTAATTATTAGCTTACATGATTATGGTCGTGACATTACCCCCCCTTCTAGGGACGAGTTCCACGAGGAGCGGTCATCATATGTTGAGGAAATCTATGATGCGACGAATTGTATTCGCCACATACTTTGATCTCTGTTCTCTTCGAAGATGATTGATAGGGCCTCTCAACCATCGGTAGTGTCCCATACCAGGGCGGGAAGACCACCCAGTTATTTGATCATTGTTGAGGCTTTCGTAACTTCCTTCGAATAGAATATTTGAAACACCATCAGAAGTTGTTCCTACCTCTAGCAAAATCACCAAACATCGGGAGTCCCTTCCCAAATCGTGATTCCAAACGCGTTGTATCTCACCATCTATTCAAGGAAGAACATGTCGTTCTTGAAGATGTTCATCTCGATTGCGTCGTCTTGAAGGTTGTGACAATCGTAATGTCTCGTCCAGCAAGTCAGCAAATGAAGGCTCTTGAGTTAAATCCGTTGGTTGTTGGTTCTCCATCTCCTGAGCGCCACTACTACAACGAAGCTACGAAGAAGAATTGAAAGTAGAATGTTATCTTGCCTAGATGTTGTTTCTTTTATAAAGAAGATTTTTATCTTGATTTTGATAGATGTCGTCGATGAAAAGCCTCCACCGCCTTTGCTACATTTGCAAGATTCTTCATTGGCTCCCATGTGCGTTCATTAATATCATATCCGTGCCAATGGACAAGATATTCTATTTTATTTCGGCATCGCCTTGAATCTAAGACTTCTTCTACTTCAAACTCTTCATTATTGTCCACTTCTATAGGAGGACGTGGAACTTGTCGTCTTCTTGGTATGTCCACTGTCTTGTATGGTTCAAGAAGAGACATGTGGAATACTGGATGGATTTTCATTGTCTTCGGTAGATGTAAATGATATGCAACTGGATTGATTTGTGCACAAATAGAAAATGGTCCCAGCCTTCGATAGTCCAACTTGTCGCAAGGACGAGTGGTCTTGATATTGCGACGAAGTAGCCATACCTTATCACCCACATTGAGTTGTGGTTGCTCCTTATGATATACATCTACGTTTATCTTTTGTCGTTCTTGAGCTTCCCTCAATTGTGCCTTCATTATTGCATGTAACTCTGACAACCGATTTGCCATATCTTCTGCTACAAGATTATCAACTTTTGAAAAATCAAAAGCATCAAGTCGTGGATGATAGCCATAATTGGCAAAGAAAGGTATTTGTTGCGTGGAGGAATGTATCGTATTATTATAAGCAAACTCTGCCAATGGCAGAAGGGTTGTCCAATCATCTTGTTGGTAGTTGATAGTACACCTTAAATACTGCTCCAAGACTTGATTTACGCGCTCTGTTTGTCTATCAGTTTGAGGATGGAAAGCCGAAGATAGCTTTATGTCCACTTTTAAAATCTTGAAAAGGGTCCTCCAAAATCTTGACACAAATTGAGTTCCCCTATCTGATATGATATCTTTAGGTAATCCATGATAGCGATAGATATTATCAATGAAAAGCTTAGCTGTTTCTTCACCTGTGATAGATTTTGTACATGGCACAAAATGTGCCATTTTGGTGAAACGATCTATTCTCACAAATATAGAATCATAAGATCTTGAGCTTGAAAGATCTGTGATGAAATCCATAGAAACAGAAGACCATGGTTGTTCTGGTATAGGTAATGGCTGAAGAAGTCCGTAAGGTCGATGACGAGGAATTTTTGATCTTGAACAAATATCACATGATTGTACAAAGTCTTTGACTGACTTCCACATTTGTGGCCACCAAAAATCTCTTGATATGAGTTCCAAAGTCTTATTATATCCAAAGTGCCCTGCTGCTGGAAAGTCATGACGTGCTTGAAGAACATGTAAACGTGCTTCTCCTTCTAGAACATATAAGCGTCCTTCAAAATATAATAGATTATTTTTGAACTCGAACTTAGAAGAATCATGAGACTTGGAAGAATTATTCTCAATATCATAAACAAGAGGGTCTAATGACATACTGGACTGGATTTGCTAGAGAAAAGTTGAATCAACAGTCAATGTTGATTTCATTGCTCGGAGATGAAATTGCTCCGGTTTCAAGAGGACCGTTCTTTATTGCTCAAAAGCTGCATCTCCTTCTTTTGGTGCAAAATAAGAACGTCTAGATAGGGCATCGGACAAACCTTGTTGTTTTCTTGGCCGATAAGTGATAATGAACTCGAATCTTGACAAAGACATACTCCAACGAGCTTGACGACGATTCATTACGCGTGCTGACATGAAATACTCGAGGTTCTTGTGATCTGTATACACAGTGACTGGACTAAAAGCGCCTTCTAGATAATGACGCCATTCTTGAAAGGAATCCACGATCGCAAGAAGTTCTTTATCGTGGATCTCATAATTGATCTCGGCTGCTGAGAATTTTCTTGAATGAAAAGCTATCAGATGAAGTTTGTCATCTGTTCCCATTTGTGATAAAACTGCACCCAAGGCAAAATCTGATGCATTTGTTTCCATAAAAAATGCCTTGGAAAAATCAACACGATATAAGACTGGTGCAGAGACAAACGATGTCTTCAAGGCTTCAAATACTGCTTCCGCTTCTTGATTCCATTGAAATTTATCTTTAATAGTCAAGCGTGTAAGTGGAGCTGCAACTCATGAAAAGTCTTTGATGAAGATCCGATAGTAATTAGCAAATCCCAAGAAACATTGGACATCTCTTATTGTCCTTGGAATCTTCCAATCCATGATTGTTTGGACTTTCTTAGAATCCATCATGAGACCATCATTTGAAATGATGTATCCTAAAAAGTCAACTTGAGTAGTGTGAAATACACACTTTTCTATCTTGGCGTACAATCCTGCATCTCTAAGTTTTTGTAATACTTGACGAACATGTATTTCATGTTCTTCGACGTTCTTAGAATAGATCAAGATATCGTCTAGATAGCAGACGACAAAATTGTCTAAGAATTCATGAAATACATCATTCATGAGATGTTGAAAAGCAGCTGGTGCATTCGTGAGTCCAAACGGCATGACATTATATTCGAAATATCCATACGTGGTTCGAAACGCAGTCTTCCATTCATCTCCTTCCTTGATCCGTACTAGATTATATGCTCCTCTTAGATCTATTTTTGTATAGATCTTAGCTTGATTCAACTGGTCAAGGAGTCCTGATATCAAAGGTAATGGATACCTGTTCT